AGAGACGAGGTCGCATGGTGGAGGCGCTCCGCCGCCTCGGGGGGCGACGGGAGCGCTACAGATGAGGGAGGGGGGAGGGAGGAGTAGGGGAGCGGGGAGAGGGCTAGCGGCGGTGGACTCCGGTGGCGGCGGTAGAGGAACCCTAGGAGAGCAGGGGCGGGGGAGGGGGCGGGAACCCTTCGTTACGAAGGTTCAAGTGGCCACCGTGGAATGATTGTTTGGAGACCCATACCGAACCTTAGTGGGTGGAGTCATCTCCACACAATTACACCAAGAATCAAGATGTATCTTTTAAAGTTTGGGACATGTTGTTTGTGAAATCCACTCAAAATAATTTAAAATGTTATCTTGCCAAACAGTAAATAAGAAATTCGATCAAAGTGTTGTATTGTACCTTCCCTTGGTACATTTGGGAGGTTTTTAAAATGCTTCCAGACATAACTTCAACCTCTTTGTATTTTCCTTTTTGCAACAGTTTATATAATAAGCTCAACAGTTATAGTAGAAGCACATCAAACAGAAGCTGAGATTAACATAATTTTGCGTTCGCAACAACATAGTCTTGTACTTCTTTCCTCAACAGATAGTTGATGTCAATCTTTGGTCATATGGGAGCATCCAGACAGAGGCGGCAATGACGTGGGCTGCATCAACAGTGGATTCGCAATGCAGGCTGGAGTGGGGTTTGGGAGTGACCTTCACCAGATAAGGAAACCATTCGTCACCTTGGATTAGAGCAGGGGAGGAACTATGCCTTAGGTCCTGGCCCAAGTAATATGTACACATGATTGATTGTGCTTTGGCCATGCCACCTCACCGCTTTTGCTAACGCTCCATGCCTCCACCAACCACTGACCACACCTAGACGTCGTGCATCCCTCGTTTCGAGCATGCAGCCAAGTGGAATTGTGACATGGCTTCTGGCCATGCATGAGCGTGATGCCCTCGCAATCATTCGTCTCCTTTAAAAATTACTACTAGCTTCTGATTCTTAAATTCTATTTGATTCAACTCCACTTGTTTTCCTTCTTCATACAATTTATTATTGGTTTCGTTGTTAGGACGAGACTTTGACCTGCCATAAAATTGATGTTGTTAGGTTCATACTCAGAAGTACTTGTATGTAGTTGTGATTTCATATCACAAACATTACATACTAATAATTTATTTTTTGGCTAAAGGGTTTGTTCTAATGTTACTAAATACTCAATGTATTCTGGAACAGAGGATGTGTTAGTAAAATTTATATGGGTCAAATGATTTTAGTCAGTTCAATTTAATATAAATTGCTTGAGATGGCAAGGAACCAAGAGGTACTTGGTTGTTTCTCGGTCCAAAATATCATTAGGAGTAGAAAAAACATGATTTTTCAAGCAAACCCATGGAATCTGAAGAGTAATACAGATAGAGATACCAATTTATTAGATAAAAATACACAATACACCATAATACATACAGTACAATCCATATACTCGATACAATTTATGCAATAATGCTTTCATTTGTACAACAATACACACAGTTTATATAATATAATAACTAAAGTAATTAGACATTGAGGTGGACATGCTCCCCGCCGTCAAAGTCATGGGCGAGGATGGGTCACCGTGGTAGGCCAGCCACAGTTGGGGCTAGCTGTGTTGCGTCAGCTCGGGTACATGACATGCCATCCCAGATCCGTCTTATACCAAGGAGGAAGAAGGGAGAAATGTCGGATGGCGGCGTGCTCTCCGTGCTCTCCCTGATGTATCACTACCAGAAAAAGTGGGGTTGCCGACGGCCAAATCTATGCCGACGGCCCCCATCGGCATCTATGGACCTATGCCGACGGCCAAGGGTAGGCCGTAGGCGTAGAACAGCCGTCGGCATACATCCATCTATGCCGACGGGGCCGTCGGCATAGACTAGGCCGTCGGGACCGCCCGAGGTACGCCTACAGGGCCCGTCGGCATAGGACAGGCCGTCGGCATAGCCCGGGCCCACCTGCCCGGTCAGCGCTGACCATTTGACGGCGTTGATCCTACGCCGACGGGCAGTAACGGCGGCCGTCGGCATATCTGTGGCAGAGGTATGCCTACGGCATAGCCGTCGGCATAGGCCCTCTGCCACGTCATCGATCCGTGTGCCACGCCACGTCATCGATCCGTGGAACAACCTCCGTGTGTGCACAGATATGCCAACGGCCTTGCCGTCGGCATACGTTTATTTTACTTAATTTTTTTAATTTTACTTTGGTTATCTGTGGCAGAGGTATGCCTACGGCACAGCCGTCGGCATAGGCCCCTTCGCCACGTCATCGATCCGTGTGCCACGCCACGTCATCGATCCGTGGGACAACCTCCGTGTGTGCACAGATATGCCGACGGCCTAGCCGTCGGCATACGTGTATTTTACTTTATTTTTTTATTTTTACTTGGTTTTGTTATTTTTACTTTATTTTAGTTTTTGTTTTTGCATAAGATAATTATGCCTTATCTAAAAACACATACCCAATGGTATATCGATTGCCCCCCGTTACGAACGTCGCTATCGCCGTGTCACGGAGGGGGGAAACGGTCGACACGGAAGGAATTCTAGTTGGTGGGGGGATTCGGGGTGTAG